TCTGCCTCCCAAATGCTGGAATTAAAGACATGTACCACTACACTAAACAACTAACTGTAATTGAAAAGCCAAATAAAATAGTGAGTGTCTTATTAGTCGAGGTCATCAATTGTGACAGGTGGCATCAGGGGAAATATTTGGAAAGTATGCATATAAACAATGCCACCAAGATAGTTATTAAGGCAGCGAGGTGGGGCTGCTGCTCTATGGTGATGAAGCAGAGTCCTGAAAGGATCCAGGATACCTGAGTAAAACTGAGACAAACAAGTAAGATTTTCACTTGCCCCACAAGGGCAGGGGCTGCTGCTGTTTTCATACTCTGCTATGAAATGATGCCTGGAAGAAGATAAATATGTGTTGGTTAAATGATCTAGATACAGTAGCTGGAAGAAAGGGAGAAAGGGTACTGGAAAATCAGCCTGAATACATATTTGGTAAAGAACACTGTAGAGACTGAAGAAGAAAATGGAGTGATGATGTTTAATTTTACTAATATGTCTGGAAGCAATCTTAGTTGGTGTGGAAGTGGGCTACAGACAAGGCAAAGAGAAAGTACAGGGCTGTAAGGAAGGATATGGTATTTACCTGCAACTCACAGGACTTGACAGGTAAGTGTGGTGGTGAAGAGACAAATGAGACAAAACAATTCTATACATTTCCAAACCGAGGACTAGAAGAACGATGGTTTAACTACTCAAGACAAGGATAAGCTCTGGTCCAGGGAAAGGCATATTAAACTTAAGATGCTGATGATACATCAACATAGAAATGTTTGATACAGGGAAACTTAGAGCCGAGTTTGGTGAGCAGGATGAATTGATGGCTATTTACTCTGCCTACTCTCCATTGGCACCACAGTCAGGCCTTCAGCATGGTGGAGGTGCACACACTGAATGGGGGTTGAGAACCATTTAATTATCAGAGGACAGCAACCCAGACAGATGGAGACAATAGTGAACAAAGATCAGGGGAAAAGCCTTTTAACAGGAAGCTAAGGGAGGTGTGTAGGCTATTCACATACTCTAGACCCTTTCCCAACTCTGTAGTTCCTTCAGAATACAGCTAAAACCAATGCCAAAGATGTGTCAAATAGAAATCAAACTCTTGCACACAGACATCTGGGAGCTTGCAAATCTCACAAATGGCAAGAAATCAAGGTGGGGAGAGGTTTCAAATAAAGTATAAAAAGATAAATTGTCCTAGCCTTAAATCTACTGCTGTGAATTTAACTCATTTAGAATCTATAAACCTGACATTACTCATATTCTCATGCTGAAACATGGAAAAACACCAACATGAATTTAGCAGCAGAGCAAGGACTATGGAAGGACATTTAAATACAGGATTAGTTCTTTTCTTGAAAGAGACCAGAAGGTGACATTGAATGGTGGTTACTGATGGGGGATGTCCTTCTCTATGCTGTGAATATACGTTTTCCCTATTGGTTGATGAATAAAGCTGTTTCGGCTAATGGACAGGCAGGATGTAGCAAGACAGCAAGTATATGCTGGGCTAACAGACTAGATGACTGGGAAGAGGAATGCAGAGAGTGAGTCACCAGGGAGATGCCATGTAGTCGTCACCCCCCAAGGTGTAACATGCTGGAGCATTCCGGGTAAGCCACAGCTTTGTGTCAATAGATAGTTTAATAGAAATGGGTTAATAATTAAGAGAGAGTTAGCCAATAAGGAGTCTGAGCCATTGGCCAAACAGTTTATAATTAATATCAGCCTCTGTGTGTTTATTTGGGACTAAATGGTTGCGGGACCAGGTTCTGTAGGTGGAACAGAAACTTCCATCTACAGGTTACTTAATGCTCAGGTGGCAAATGCAAGAGGGTTTAAGTTTGATACCAGGATGTAGTACAGAGCAAGACACCATCTTAATAATAAAAGTAAACAACAATTAATAAGCCAAACACACAATAGACAAACATACAAACAAACATGAATAGAGTTATTTTGAACTGAGAGCAAACCCTGAGATGGCATGAAAACTCGATGCTTTTCTTGGCGTTTTGAGTGAGAGAATAAACACTAAGAGACAATGTGCATACAGGCAGTAACCAATGTGGTTCATCACACGAACTCCACACTGGTGACTGTGGGTTCTTCTCATGGAGCTGAGCCAATACTGAGCTGAATTCACCCACACAGATTAGACTCCATGTCCCACAGGGCAAAGCAAACTGGTTGGCTTACAGTACATTTTCTGGAAACTAGACTGAAACTTTGACTAATAAAGGGGTATTTATTTGATAAAATATAACTGATTGCAATGTAAGAGAAAAGCAAGCACGCTGTGGCAGAGCGAGGAACTGACCCTGAGGGTATCGGTCTCTCAGGGATTTCTCCCTTCCTCCATGACAGGATTTCTCTGTGTAGCTCAGGCTGTCCTGAAAGTCACTATGTACACCATGCTGTCCTTGAACTCACAGAGATCATCCTGCCTCTGTCTCCCGAGCACTGGGATTAAAGGTGTGGGCCACCACCACGGGTTAAGGATGTTCTTATGGACCAAGGGCATAAATGCTATTGAGAATTCCAGTGTATGATGAAAACATGCCTTTATTTTTATTGTTTGAGCAATTATTTAGTATAATTTTTAAAAAGTATTAATTTTTCAGAAAAAAATAGTGTATTGTTATTTTGCTGAATGCTGTCTCATTTGACTGCTCTAGACTCCCCCCCCCAGAAATATGTGCTATTGACTGAAACATCTTTTTATATACAAGATGTATCTTTTATTCATTGTCAACTCTCTAAGCAGGACCAGTCATTCCAACTTGGAGCTTCCACATGATGGAGCAGGAAATGGGGTGACTGCAAATTTAACCTGTCTTCCTGCTTCTTGACCAATCCCTCTTACTTTGTACTGATGCTCTGGACATGACTCCCTTTGGATGGACACTGTAAACATTTGCATTTCCAATCTCCAATTTGAGACTGAATCTTCTATTTATGCAGTACTATCACACTATCACAGCATCCAAGACAGTGGTTCCCAAAGCCCAGAATAACAACAGTACAAGGCATGTGGGATGCTGAGCAGATGACCATGTCGGAAAGGCCTGGCTGATAGCAACAGCTCCATTTTTCATCTATTCTGTGAATCTGAGTAACTTCATCTTCCATCACCTCCTGCTGTCGGACCTGCTGAAAGGGTTGGCATCTGAATGGTGCTCAGGAGTTGTTAGCATCTTTCTGTATCTCCAAGTAGGTTTGCTCTTTCCTAGAATTTGATGGTTTTAAAACACCTTTTACACAGCTACCCTCACTATCTTCTTTTTATGACAGCAATAGGTAAGAAGTACACATAAATGGATCATCATGCAGCCAACTACAGCTTAGTACCATCTATCTTTATCACTTTGCCTCATGTTGCTCCCAGATGAGACAAGTCCAGTCATTCTGCTTCCCAGATACACCTTGAACCTTTAGATCCAAGTACATCTTTCTTGATGTCTATACAACTTGCCATCTATCTCCATCCTAATGCTTAAGACACTGTATTGTTACTGTTATTTTTGTTACTGGCTAACACTCTTTAAGTGTTTCCACATTCCAAGTATTATTCTAAGAGTATTACATGTATTGCTTCACTTAATCTTCAAAACTCTGTAAGCCATTCTATATTATCTGTCACTAAGAACATATTTGTGGATTCCTATCTGTATGCTCTTATGCATAATTATTGTATAAATCAGGGATTCTACACATGACAGCAGTTACATTCTTATTTGTATTTTTGTCCTTTTAAGGTGCTGACTTTCATCAAACCCATTACTCTTTCAGACTAAAGTAATGAAAAAGAGTTCATCTACATTTTGTGGATATTTTGGGAGCCTAAGTCTATCTGTAGACACTCACTAAGGGTTCTTTCCTAAGAGGGGGAACAATGGCCTAAGTGGCAGGGTTTGAATTTATATTTAGAAACATAAAAGCTTGATCATTCTTGACTAAGGCCACAGTAAGCAGAAAGAGAGAAAACTTACAGATATTAACAATTATGAAAGTCATTCAACAGGATGGTAAGTTAACCCTTGCTTGGCAAAGTACATAAGACACTGTTATAGGAGATGAAGGAAACTTAAGAAGTCCTGTTTTTTCCCTGGGGATACTGACCAAGAGAAGCATTTTTTTGCATACCAAAATCCAACAATGTCACTCTACTTTACTAGTAAAAATAACTTTTAGGAATGTTTACAAAATAAAGTATCCTTCAGGGGATTTTTCTCCAATGCTGTAACTAGGTATTATAGGATTTATTTTCATTCTAGGTTTCTTGAGAATGTAGCACAAATAATTAAATAATTAAATTTACAATCTCCTCAGAATGTATTTAATCAGATCTAAAGATAAAAGGAAGACTTATAAGAAATTACTAAAGGAACAGGAAGCCAATTGCAAATAACAGATCAAATCATAAATAGGAAATAGTATTTTTAAATAAAATTAACATTGTAAAATGCATGGCTAATGTACAAAGATGAAATTTTTATGCTTTTATGTGCTCTTATCTTTTTTTTAAACAATAAAGATGAGGAGGTTTTCATATTTGCTTGCTTAGGGATAAAACAAAATAAGAAAGGCTACTATGTCGACTGAGCCATGCACTTAATTCATAATAGAATAAAGGAAATGCTAGTACATTGCACATTCCAGTGAAAAGAAGAAGAAAATAAAAGGTTAACCAATTCAATTTGGATTAGCTGAGGGCACTTCTCCCTCACTGTTGAACCTGGGTGTGTGTCAAGCATCTAGGATTAGATGACGGTATACAGACTCTTTTATGTTGGGGATAACTCAGGAAACACAGTCAAGGGTCCTCTATGCATTCTTAATGGATACTTTAGCCTCAGTCAAGTGAATACGATTTTCTGTTTTAGGATGTATACGTATAGTCTCCTATTTTGTGTATGTTTGTGAAAAAAAAAGAGAATAACAAAAATGATTTTTGTTTGTATTTCTAACATGCTATTCATACTTTAAAATCCTTACCAGTCTCTGTTTTTGAAGCTCTTCTCTGAGGATTCTATCTTCTGGTAACACATCACATAACAAAAAATAGTTGTCCTGTTCTTCTGCAGAGAGATTAGGACAATAAGTGAGAAAACAGCATTTTTCTCGGAGTATTTACTTCTTTAAAAATGTGTGTGTATGAAGCAGTGGAGAAGGTTGAGTCAGTGCAGTGCTTGCTGTGCAGGAATGATGACCTTACGACTCATGTAAAAGCACAGGGTGGTGGATCCCTAATTATCACAACTGGCGGGCTACAGGCTCAGTCAAAGACTCTCCCTCAAAAAATAAGGTAAAGTGTAATAGATGGTAATGTTGGTTTGTGGATTATACTGTATGTGTATACCCCTTAGTATCCGGGACAGAGTTCTGATGTAGATTTATTCAAGTAAAGCAAAATAAGAACACCAGTTTAATTTCAGCTATCATGCAAGTGAGAGCAAATAGAATTTAAGAGAGTGAGAGTATTTGCGTGAGTTTTTAATTTATGTGGATAATTAAGACATGCACTTACCAAATGGAGCTGTGGAATTGATTCTTATCACACTGCAAAAATCTGTGATGGGCTGTTCAGTGAACCTTTTCCTCCAATATAAAATGTACCTAAGAAATGATATTTCAAAGGATGATGAGACTCAATATACAACTCTTAAAATGATAGGATCATACAAGAATGTCTAATTACCCTCACACTAAAAAGCAGATGCTAACTGGAACTGGTAGAGAATGAGTGAAAAGAAATGCAGTGTGGCATTGCAGATATATGAGATATGTATTTAATAAAATCAAACTGCCCTGCAAAGTCATGGAAATGATTAAACCATACAACCTTGAAATTTAAAATAAACAGGTGCATAAGACAGTTAAAATGAGTTTCTTTTGTTTGTTTGAGACAGGCTCTCATAGAGCCCAGAATAGCCTTGGACATGCTATGTTACTGAGACTAGCTTTGAGTTCCTGATCTTTGGGCCTTCACCTTCTAAATTCTAGGATTACAGGCAAGTGCTACCACACATGGTGAAGGTGAATTATCTTATTGAGAATGAAGTTTTCTACAATAACGTATAGTTTACACGTAAGAATTGGGGGTTAGGGCATTTTAGAGCACTGTATGTTCTTCCAGAGGATCTCACTTTGAGTCCCAGGACCGACATGGTGGCTTCACAAGTATCTGCAACTCCAGTCATGGGGATATGATGCTCTCTCCTGGCCTCTGCAGGGACCAGACAGGTTTGTGGTACACAGACACACATTCAGGTAAAACATCCATACATATAAAAATAAAAATAAATAAATCTAAGAAAGTGTCAGGATAAAATAGGCTATGGCATCCAAGGAGATGAAGAGAAGATTGAGTGGTCATCTTTAGCAAAGTGAGAAATCAGGATACAGTTAGCATCTGCACAATTAGACAGAGCATCTAAATGCCCACACTGTGCCTAAAATAAATGAAATGTGGCCTTTGGAAAAACAGCTGAGCTAACATTTCATATTTAATGAGCAGAGTTAGAAGTAGCATATGGGCTAAACTTAAAAGCAAATCAGAAGCCAGCCCTGTACATGTGCTGCATGACAAAGTAAAATGACATGATTCAACCACGCCACTCCTCCTTCAATGTATTTATTGTAACAAGATGAATTATAGTGCTCATAGACCAAAGGGCACCAACAGGAGAATGTAGTCTTCTTCACGAGGAAAAGGAAATGGGAAGGTTGACCCTATAGTTGACAGTTTATTGGAATACACAAATTATAAGTTACACCAAAGAACCAAAGCTTCATAAAAAAAATAGATGGAATTTAATGAAATAGTGGAAGAACATAGAAAGGGTAGGGATTTGGATATTTAAATGGCTTGATACAGCATCTAGCAGTGGTCTGCCAGAGTAGGCTCAAAGTCAATGCTGCAAGAATATGCGCAAGTCCTTGGAGACTTCTTCAGGGGTTCTCTAGCCAGCAACTACCCATATCTAGTTTCCTTTTACTCTTCTTTTAGCATATTTGTCAACATCATCATGTTCTGGAGACAGGATGAGTGGATTAGAAAAGAGTCTATTGAGAGAGACTTGAGAAAGAGAACCATGATGTGAGCTGGTAAACAAATAAACATGGACAACAAGGAAGACCAGGATACGCAGGAAAAGAAACCAATGAGTAGCAGTGAGACAGAACTGCATAGTTAGCTCTTGCTCCTCATATCCAGCTACCCTGGAAATCTTAGCGTGGAAGAGGAGAAGCATTCCTTACAGAATAGTTCTGACTATATCCACAGATCAGAAAATGACAATGGTAAGCTCTGGCTCAGTTAGAATTACAAAGACTGAATATATGGCCAACCGAGTAACTTCCATTTGCCTTAGGTGTGGAAGGGACAGTGCATCCCTCCAAGCAGATAATAAGGGAAATGTATTCACAAAAAGATAAAGCATTAGTTTCTTGGCCAGCTTTAGTACTTCCCATTCCTTGGTATTCTACACAGCTATCCCTGCTTTCTCTGTTAGTTAACTAGCTTGTCCTGGAAAAGAGGTAGTGGGAGAGAGGGAAAAAGGAAAGGTGAGAAGCTCAAGACTGGGCAGGTGGCTCACTCAGGAAAATACTGTCACACAGATTGAGCTTAGACATCTCCCACTGACACTAAAACTGTGCACCAGACAGAATCTGTAAACCTTGGTGCTAGAGGTGGTGGTGGGTACATGGACACACAGATCCCTGGCGCTTACTGACTAGCCAGTCTAGCTGAATCAATGAGCTCCATGTTCACTGCGAGACCCTATCTCAAAAGATGAGGTGGAGACCAATGGGCAGAGATGCTTCATGTTGACCACACCATGTGAATGCACACACTTGCACACACACAAGTACACACAGTAACACACAGACACAAAGACAGATACACATAAACTCTCTCACACACACACACAGGGAAGAGGCTGGGGAATGTTCTGCTTAGCCCATCTTCCATTGGAAAGTGGTGACATGGATAAAAGAACATGGCAGAGCCTGTGTTAGAGATGTTAAGAACAGGACAAGAATTCTTTATCCAACCCAAAATATAAAGATATTTGTGTTCATGAATACACAAATCCATACATGGCAGGACCGGTGCCTGAGAAAATGGACTTTTCCAGAGAGGACCACAAATCACCATACAACTTAAATGCATAAATGCACTCTCCATAGCACACTGTGGCACAGCATGCCAACACAACTTCAGTGGCTACATATATTTTAGCCCAAGCTTACATTTGAGTTTTTAACCAGAACTAAGGGGTATCCATTTATATGTTTTCTTGTGGTTATTACAGGTACTCAGAGAAATTGTATTCATTTGACAAACAGCTTAATGCCAGCAGATGGCCCCAGCCCCAATTAGAACATATTTTTCAGAGTTATATGACTATGTAGCACTTCATGTCTTCATTTTCCCTACCTTTCTATTCAAAGTTACAGCTATAGCTACTTAATATATAAAGGCTGTTATGAAATATGTGGTAAGAATTCTTTATTGAGATCACATTTGTGATAGCATTTCAACACTTTATTAAAAAGCCATAAAAATAAGTGGTAAGTCATCAGCAAATACTTTTGTTGAAAAGAATTTCAAATCCTATCCCATGGAACTTTTTCTCACATACTAGAAAATCTTTGTAGCAGCATCTCGCCTGCTCTGGCTTGCACTGTAGTTTGTACACACACTGATAAGGGTATGGAGGGTTGAAATATGGTTGTTATCCAAGAAGCAATGAATGAATGGAATGCAGAAAATTACAGTTAACATTTATCTTCTGGCACAATTTTATCTACCACAGAAAGCCAGAAAAGAGCTTACTCTGAATAACTGTGAAGTGGCCTCAAAGGGGAGATTTTCAGTTTTGTTTTATTTCCTTAGCCCTAGGAAGTTTTATACTTACTATGTTTCAATAAAGAATGTCAAGTATGTTTAATATGAAAATTTATTGCTTACTTATTATAACACACAAGGTAAGGCTGGGGTGGTGATGCATCTCTGTAATCCTAGCATTTAAAAGCCTGAGGAAGAGGAATGTGAGCTTGAGGTTAGCCTGGGCTACACAGAGAGCCTCTTGAAAAAAAAAAAAAAAGAAAAACAAAGCAAACCTATCCCATTTCTTTTGTTTAAAATCTTTATGACTGGTGCGTAGAAGATTTGCTCTGAGAGGAGTGAATCCATCTGTGTCAAGCAAAGCTCTTCAGTGTTGTCACTGCCCCAGTCCTCTAGTTCCCTTTCTGAAGGTTGGAGTGAGTCACCCCATGGTGAGAAGACTAACTTAACTGATCACAGCTAATTACTGTCCCATTAAATGGTATGAGGTTATTCACACAAGGCTGGGTCATTAAAAATGTTCTTTAAGGAAACAAGAGTTTACTCAGAAGCATTCTTGGTTATTCCAAATTAATCTCCCTTTTACTTCCTGAGAGTGAAAATTTTATTTAATTAGGGGGGCATGTGGCAAGAAAGAACTAAAATTCTACATTTAAATTATATGGTAAGTCTACATTTTAGAAAGCACTTACATTTGATATGTATCTTTTTCTTTAGTTAAAAAGCATGCATTTTACTGTTTACCTACACTTAGTGAGTGATTGTTCTCAAAATTTACTTATTGATTCCTAAGCCCTGACAGCCAGTTAAGTAACTTGTTCTGCCCATATATAGGCCATAAGATTAAAGCCAAAATGAGATTAATAAGTATAAATACTGTCACTTTATTATACATAGACTCAAAAGAGGAAAGACAAATTTTGATCTAAACATTCCTCAGATTTTAAGGACAGGAAGAGAAACAAAGTCTTAACACTTCTCAGTTGCCACTGATGGATGGTTTGTTTCCCTGCAGTTCACAAGGAGTAATTTTTGATTATATGATATAGGAGCAAACAAGTCACTTTATAACAAAGACAAGCTGAGTAAAATAGACACACCATTTAGTAGTCCTGTCATAGTTACTTGGAGAAGAAGAGAGCTGGAAGATGTCTAGCTTGAGAAGTGTCTTAAATGAACAGACTTGAAGAAATCTTGAAAAAAAAGTATTACATTTAGCAAAGCTCCCATCAAAGTCTAGTAAAAACTAACCACACATGGTGGATATAGGATCCATGTGTACACAGCAGGCATGCTGCATATATTCTGTGTTGGCAGCTGGGAAGGACCACAGAAACGAGAACAGCTGGATTATCCCACAGGGATGCTGGCTATTCCAATGTAAACAAACTGACTTTCTAAAAATCTAGATAAAGTGGAAACTTGAATGAGATTTATAAATAAATGATAATTAGCTTTCAGACTAGTATACAGACCTACTGAAAACTGAAGCTATGCTACAAGACTGCAATTTCATCACTAATCAAAAGACAAATAAATTTTGGCTTTCAGATATCAGATACGCTGCATGTCACAGGCAGGTACTATTCCCACTTGACACACATTAACCTGATTGCTCCACGCCACAAGGCTAAGAGGTTCCCAGGCTGAATTCCAGCCCAGTCTTGCCTGCTTCCATAGTCTTCTCTACTCCTAATAACACTGCCTGCTGCTTTAGAAGACCCACCGCAAGAATGAGGTTTCTTGGCAATGGCATGGGTGGTTTGAGAGACAGTCTGCATTGATATTAGAATGTTGAGGCTACTTGCTACTTTCCAATGAAATGGAACCTTTCCATAGTCTCCAAATGTTATGCTCTTGGTAATTACCCAAGTAAACAACTACTATGAGGTCTCCTCAGTAGAAAAATATAAAATATGTTTTAATTAATCATGATTTACATGCTCCTCAATAAAAGATTGAAATTGAAAAACAAAACAAAACAAAAAACAAACAAACAAAAAAAACCTAAGGAAATCCCCTGAGCATGATCTTCCATATCCGTGTAGAGATTACTTCCTGTGTAGAATAGACCATCCTTCAATCAAGAACAAACTAAATTCCTTTATAGATAAAACCAAAATTTACCTTTGGAAATCTGCAACCAGCTTCACATCAGCTATGACAATCTTATGCTCAATAATCATGTGCTTCAAAAGTTTGTCTTGTTCAGCCACGGGAAAATGTTCCTCACAGAAAAGACAAGGCACAGATGGAGGCCCTTCTGAAGCGGTGGAGCCACCTGGACTTTCTGGCAGGGAAAGCGGCTCCAGGATACAATCTTTACTGTCTGGGAGAGGCACAAAAGAAGAAGAAAGAAAAGTGAAACCAACCCTGGCTCTTTACATGGATGATTTCTCATGTCCCGCATGGAAAGGAGTCTGAAGGCATTTTACATATTTCAAAAAAAAAAAAAAATCAACCTCCCCCCCAAAAAAACAAAACAAAACAGAAAACATAGCACCAGGGAGAATCTTGCTGTCATTTTAAACACAGCTACAGCCATACTGCAAGAGAACTTGGAGCGGTGCTCTTTGCTTGAATGAGGGAAACCCATTTGTTGAAGTCGATGTTGAAGTGTTTTCTTCTTGGGCCATGGCCAGAGGCTACAATTCAGAGTACTAGCAAGTGGAAACAACGACAGCTGGGTTGGGGTCCTAAGTGATCTTAGTTAAGCCATCACACAGGTCATGTCAGGCTCTTTCTGATATATCTGAAAACTTTCTCATTTCTAATCACATGCCATGTACAAAGAACACATTCCTACACTGGCTGGAAACAGCATTTAATAAGTGACCAAGGTAGCAATCTTGTTATGTCTGTCATTTGCTCATTACACAGTCATGCATCACCAGTAAGGCTTTCATGAGCCAAGTGTTAGACACTCAGTATATCCACAGTAAACATTTTCCTCGCCCGAATGTTTCCTTTTTCTTACACCACTCACAGTGTCTTCAAGAGCTTTAGTGTCGCTATGTCTCTGATTTCAGGGCTTCAAAATAAGGCGGCTGCGCCAGGAACTCTCTTGAGTCTGCCAGGGTGGAACCCTGGGCTTACCGTCTTATTTCAGGTCTTAAGCAGGCAGTAACTGGGAACGGAAACTAGGGTCCAGCCTTTGCATTTGCTGAAGGAAAGAAACTTTCTTCAGAGAGAGACAAATGCCAGGTCTAGTGCTGCAGATGAACTCTGGAATTAGGTTAATACCAATATTTTCTTGTTACATTTTATTTATTATTTTTACTCTCACTTTGTCATTTAAGCATTCTTACTTAAGCAATATTAACTCAGTCACTCGTACACCATTGAGCATGGGCTAAGAATCAGCTAAGTCACATAGATGGAAGCATTCATCCACCACTTAGTATCTATTACTGCAGGTCAATACTTTTGTGTGGTATTGCATGGTATGAGTCTTCTCAAGAGGTCGCACAGTTTGCTAGAAGGTACAGATAAGTTAAAAGGATAAACGAGAAAGTGATAGAGGACATTCAGGGAAAGCCCAAAGCAAGATGGCTCAGGCAGGTCAGCACTGCAGCATGGATGAAGGCTCACAAGGCCCACGCCCAGCTAAGGGACTGCTGGTGGGGGGTACAAGTCAGTTTTCTTCAGGGTGTGGCTGATGGTAGAATGTCTCATGCTTTATTAGGACAGCACTAATGGGACTTAGTGGGTTACTAGAAAAAAAAACAAACAAACAAAGAGGAAGAGGACACAAATTCGAAAGGCACCTTGGGAGTAGTTCTGAGTGGGGAGTGGAAGAGAAGAGTTTAGGATGAATATGATCAAAATATATCGCATACTTGTATGGAATTGTCAAAGTGTAAAAGGTCCTTAATTAAGAAACAGCTATCTGAAGTAAAGGTAATGTTAGTAAACATCACTAGACAGATACATAACAATGAGCCCTGGGTGACACTCTTCTTCCAAAATCTGATTGGAGTATTTGCCAATTCCTTTGCCTGACCAGAGTAAACAGCAACCATCACCACCATCGGGAGCAAAATGGGAATTTCCCACTGGTAAATCACCAGCATTGTGCTGAGGCATTTCCTCAATCCTAACATGTCATTTGCTAAAGTTATAATCCCATCTTCCACATGAGGGAATGGAGACAGGAAAAGCTAAGAGTAATGTTTTATGAACGCAGTTCAGCCTGAACTCAAATACATTAGTTAGCTCCCAGTATCCATAGGCATTTTCCAACTTGAATTCTTCTTGAACACCTACACCCAGTGCTGTTTTGAATGTGTACGTATTTAGAGCCACTTTGAATTTCTGTGCATTCCCCGAGTGTCCTGATGCTACCTCTCCTGGCAGTTTTTGTACCATGTTCAGTATCTCAGATTTTCTTCAGTGATTGTTCTTATTTTCCCCCAGATTTCCTGTAAACTCTGTTTTTCTGTGGTTCCTTTATATGGCTAATGCCCGGCTTTCCTTTTCCTCAAATTATTCCTGAGTGAACAGACACAACCAGAATTACCTGTCATGGCAAAGGAATTGACTGAAATCATGGCTGTGAAAATTTTATGTCTGAGGAACCTGCATTTTAGGAATTACTGAATATGGGAACTGGAGTTATATATTTCAGAAAAAATTGATTCGACAGAACCTTTAAATATGATTCTTTTCCTCTCTCTGGCTCTCTAGTCACTTAGTGCTTTGCTAACATAGTAACAGCATTGTCATCTGGAATAATTCATTTACCTACTTGTCTGCTCTTTGCCCCTTTGTATGGTTGATGCTGGGAGTCCTAGACATCAAACAGATCTAAAATCCATATGACTAACACCGTCAGTGGGTGGAACTTCTGGTCAAATGTTACAGACTTTACCCATAAGCATTAACTCCATCAATCCTCACGATAACTCTAATAAAGGGCTTCCATTGAGCCTATCTTATAAATGATGGAACTGACAGGCGATTTGAGCTAGTGCTGTTAGCTGTTCCCTGGTAGAGAGGATCGAGCCCCTCACTCTGGCTGGAACACACCATCTTTTTATGTGATACGACAGAGTAAAGAGCTTTCCTTAGACGAGACAGAGCCACATCCATACCTCATCATTAATCTATTACTCTAGAGGTCTATTTTTTAAAAATATCTTTAACATTCTAATAAATGGAGTTAATATTACATTTTCTTACATGCCATTTCACTTTGTTCATATTCATCCTCCTTCCACACCCTGCCCAAGCCCCCATCGCACTTTGATGTTGTAAACTGGGAAGAGTAAGTTGGGAAGAGGCAAGTCTCAAGATGGGGAGACTAAGTTGGAATAGTCCAGATTCCTGAGTCTGAGAGCTTGTGGAACAGCAACATTAGCAGTGGATAGAACCTGACAGTTCTTCTTCACTGCCTGGCCACTGAGAGTGAAGGAAAAAGAGAAGAGGAAGAGAAAGGGAGTATACCACCCTCTTTGTGGAGTGTACTGGCTAGCTTTATTCAATTCAGCTAGAGTCATCAGAGAGGAGGGAGCTCAATTGAGAAACGATCGCCTCAAGATCCATCTGTAAGGCATTTTCTTAAACAGTGATCGATGAGGGAGGGCCCAGTGCATTGTGGGTGGGGCCACCCCTGGGCTGCTGGTCCTGGGTTCTATAATAGAGGAGGCTGAGCAAGTCATGAAAGAGCAAGCCAGTAAGCAGGACCCCTCCATGGCCTCTGCATCAGCTCCTTCGTCCAGGTCCTGCCCTGTTTGAGTTCCTGTCTTAGCTTCCTTCACAATGATGGAATACAATGAGGAAGTGTAAGCCTAATAAAACCCTTTCCTCCCCAGCTTGCTTTTGGTCATAGGGTTTCACTGCAGCAACGGAAACCCTAACTAAGACAAGGAGCCTGTATAAAACAGGAGTTCCAGTCAACAACTTTGGATTCCAACACAAAGAGAGTGCTTGTTAGGGTAGAGTGGGTAGTACAATATCAGAAGTTACATGTTCCCTTAAGGTTGGTAGACATGAAACAGAAACTGGTACTCTACTTGATGGATTTGAACTGTCCTGTTAGTAAGTCTGCTCTCCAAGGTTCCCCTCTGGGCTTGGCCTACTCCATCTCTTCATGTATCACTGCTGTAATCAATTATTCACACATGTATCTATCTGTACTACTACGTTAGTCTGTGAACTCAAGGTCAAGGGCTTATTTTTGTATGTCTTGTGTAGACTACAGTGGCTGGAACAAAGCTGGTATTTGACAAATGTTTGTTAAATGAAGACATGAAAGAATGAACAACAGGCCAGAGGTCCTTTGAACTAGAGTTCTAATGTTAAGTTTCTAGGAAAGTCCCATTTTAGGAAACACCTGTGCCTGTCTTTAGTGGAATTTTTCCTGCCTGGAATTAAGGGTAGACCAGCTGTATTTACAGCTTGATCTTTATTTAGTGCTGGGGCCTTGGCATTAAAGGCACAATGACATCTAGTAATGGTTAAAAATTGAAATGAATTCTAAGCTAGAAATGCACATTAGCCAGTGAAAAAGTTATAACTTATCTGTTTTTATTTTGTCTTTTTGTGGAGACAGGGTCTCCTTAGCTAGCTCAGGTTGACCTCAACTCCTTGCCTAGCCTTGATATGTTACATGTTATTGAAACTGAACTTGTAAATATTTTCCATGGAAGGAAGGGTACTTCACAGAAAAGAACAAGTGGCATTTGGAATGCATAGTAAATTCACCACTCCATAAAGGAAGTTTATATGGAATAGACCTGGGCCCTGACTATAGGCTTCAGTTTAGAGCAAATGGCTCTAACTGAGTGAGTGGTATCTCCTGGAGATGTCTTTTTCTTTTTGGTGCCGGGACTCAAATGTTACAGACATTTTTAACTGCCCATTTCAAGTTCGGAGTTTACAAGGAGGAAGAACAGTTTTAGTGAGTTGAAGCCCCTACACTCCCTGCTGGGAACCAACAACTCAGCATTAGCAATGTGAATACCTTGAGCTCTGGAGCACATGCAGGCACCTTCAACACCTGAGAAGGCCACAGACTAGGTGACAAGCTAAAAAACAGTCTATTTTCCCTCAAAGAGTGCTGTCAATAGCTGTCATTCCCTTACAGTGTCTACCAGCTTGTTTATTTCCAGCTGTAATGAGTATTAGATCTACATTTCACAGCACTGTATAAGACAATAGCTACAGAAACATATAACCCATTGCAGCAGTGGCTTTGAATCCTAAAAACAGAAGGAAGATCTGCAAATCCAGCTTCTTTCATCCAAAAGTATCTTAGAGATTCTGCTTTGGCCCCAAATCTTCTTCACATGTATAGTACAAATTAACGAGCTATCTGTTCTAGTTCTC